TATATTTATAATTCCAGGCCCTTGAAAGCAATCATGGTAGTTAAGAACAAAGTTTTGAGTCATTAAGATAGAGGCCAACTTGGAACATCTCTAGTGAGATGAAATCAGGAAACTGGCATTAGAACCCCACAGAGTTAGTCCTTTCCAAGACGCAGGAATCAGGCTGGCATTGTCCCTCTGGTTCAGCGGAGTGGCCATGGCGCTCCTCCTTGGCGAGCCTCACTCCTGTCCACCCACCTGGCACCACGGCGGGGACGGCCACCCGCCCCCTTGCTCCAGCGAGCCGCCACCCGCCTGGCCTCCCGAGCCTGCAGTTGGTTTCCTAAAATCCCATTGTTAGAAACACTTGAGCATCACTGAAAAAGAAATATGCGATTTGGTTTAAATGCCAGTTTCTTCAAGAACCTGATATTTCAGTTACAAATAATTGAAGATCCTTTTTAAAAAGAAAATTCGACTCCCTCGTAATCAACTACTTTATGTGAAGAAAAAAGGCATTGTTACAATGGCTCAAAACCGTTCTTCCAATGCGTGCGACAGACTCAGTCCGGCTCTAACTAGCAAAGGCTTTGCCCACGTCCTCCTTCCCTTTGTACTTCCTCTTCCCGTGTGTGAATGGTATGTACCGGTATTTGATCATGTGCTGGGAAAACAAACAGACAGGCTGGAGTTACTTCAAAAGTTTCCTGATCACATTTTCCCCAAATCTTGAACAGCCAAAGCCCCCTCCCCATCTTTTCTACGTATCAGATGAATGAAACCAGGACTCCAGTAACATGCTTCTCGTCTCCCCTCCACACAGCAAAACCTCCCACTGCCCAGATGATCTGGCCTGAGGCCCAGCTGAGACCCTGTGGCTCTGGGAGACGTTTCTTGAGCCCTCCCTGCTACACAAGAAGAGCTGGAAGGGCGCGAGGCGGCCCAGGGCCCTCTGTGCTGCCGATGCCCCTGGGGCGCAGAGCGAGGGCCACGGTCTGGGTTAACTTCACACAGCACCCTCCTCCTCGGGGGCCTGCGTGCCCCACCAAGAACAGCTGCTGCAGCACGCGGACCCTGGCCCGGCACAGCCAGGGCTTTCCTGCTTGGCTCTCGGGAAGGGAAGCTGCTACTGAAAGAGTCCGAGAGCCCGCTCGCTGCGACAGCTGAGCTCGCACGTTTGCACGCACGGAACGTGGGGGACGTGGAGCACTGCACTGTCGCCCAGGACGCCACACCGCCCAACAGCTCTACGGCCACGCTACGCGGGCTGCCACCACCCGCACGGCTCATCTGCGCCTTGCTGCCAGTGCTGCTGAGGTGCCCGACATGAGCGCCGCGCGGCGCCCGGCAGTTACCTTTATCTGCCTCTTCATCGTGATACAGAAAAGCATGATGAAGTACATCACCAGAATCGGCCAGAACACCGGGACGTTGAACGCGTCGAAGAAGGTACAGATCATGGCCACAAGGATGCCCTTGGTAGCTGCGTGCCTTCGGGTGAGGAGAGAAGGTTAGCGCTGCCGTCCGCAGCCAGCCCTGGGCACCCGCCGGCCGCCTCAGGCCTCGCAGCTGCGCCTCCCTCGCCCACAAACTGGAGCATCGCGGGGAGGGGTCCCTCCCCTGGGTGGCACGTGAGCAGCCTGTCCTGGGTGTGTAGTTGATACGCATGTGCTGTACTTAACCACCAACACATCCTCCTCTCAGTCCCTTGAAAGCTAAGAAAACATCGGTGCTGAGGCCGAGTGCCCGCTACCGACCGACCTGCCGTCTGGAGCACGGGCCCAGGCCCTGCACCTGCCGTCCAGGAGCTGGCAGAGCACGGCTGTCGCTCTCTCCCACCCGGCACACAGCTAGCCCTGCCGTCACCTTCACATCAGGCTCGCGCTCCCCACTCAAAGCCCCCTGGCGCTCCCTTTCCCACAGAACCAAGGCCAAGCTCCCCGGGGGCTTCCAGGTCCCCCACCCACCTCCCACTGCAGCATCTCTGGCTCATGCCACAGGGACTGGCTGAGGCCTGCCTGTCCCCACACACACTAGAGGGGTCAGTCTGCTTATTCAGTTTACGGATCCAACAGAGACTCTGGCTCTCCCTGTGCCCCTGGGGCAGGGGCACAAGACAGGACCAACATATGCGGTCACAGAACTCCTGTCCCTCTGACAGAGCTGCGCCCACCGTGTCCACCCATCCCACACACCATGGCCTCTCGCTGCCTACAGGAGCCCGGGCCTGCCGGAGACCTGGAGAGGCAGCCATACCTGCAGCGGGCCTGGCCCTGTGCCCTGCTCAGGACTCTCAAGAACTAACTACTAGAGGAGAAAGCCGGTCCACCCCTGCTGGCCACGGGAGGCCACAGGCCCGGAGGGAGGGAGGCAGAGCAGCAGACTGGCGGGCAGGCCTGCCCTCCTGGGCCTGGGTCTGTGAGGGAACCAGCCCCCAGAGCGCTGACGCTAACTGGAAACCCAGAGAGGGTGCGAGGCCGGGGGCATATCTCCGAGAAGGGCCCTGTGAGTCACCGCATGCCCAGCCCAGCAGGCACCTTTCAGATGAATGAACGTCACAAAGCACAACACAACTCTCGTTTCTTTAAGAAGCTGAATTGGCTGTCTAATTAGAACAAAACCAGCAAACTCTAACAGTCTTAATAGCTATACTCTAATACCTGTAAGGGTTATTAGCTCACCAAAATTTAAACTCTGGAAGCCTTCGAATAAAAGGACGAAATTCCTCGTTCTGTTTGGTTGGTAATGACGGGCCATCGTCTGAAAGGCACAATAACAATCAGAGAAGAAGCACCTTTACATTTTTGTTTCTATCACATTTTTAAGTTTTTCCTGAAGAGGTTTTGAACTAGTAGGCGTCATATATGGAAATATGGATTTATACCGTCTAATCACAGATAAAATGGGGATCTGTGTTAACTTATAAGTCAATTCATTACTTTAGAAGATTCTACTAGAATTTTTTTAAGAAAAGACTTCTAGGCCGGGCGCGGTGGCTCACGCCTGTAATCCTAGCTCTCTGGGAGGCCGAGGCAGGCGGATTGTCTGAGTTCAGGAGTTCGAAACCAGCCTGAGCAAGAGCGAGACCCCGTCTCTACTAAAAATAGAAAGAAATTAATTGGACAACTAAAAATATATAGAAAAAATTAGCCGGGCACGGTGGCGCATGCCTGTAGTCCCAGCTACTCGGGAGGCTGAGGCAGGAGGATCTCTTGAGCCCAGGAGTTTGAGGTTGCTGTGAGCGAGGATGACGCCACGGCACTCTAGCCTGGGCAACACAGTGAGAGTCTGTCTCACAAAAAAAAAAAAAAAAAAAAAAAAAAAAAGACTTCTACACTTGTTAAATACACAGAAGAATCCAACCGCACACATGTTCTCAGGAACATCAACCGTACTCCGTGCAGGTCCATATAGAGCGCGAGGAACTCACATTCACAGACAAGCACGGCGGAGGCGGCAGGGCCGCGTGCACCTGCACACAACCAGCCGGGCGCTCAGCCTCTGCCCGCGCCAGCTGCCCGCGCCAGGCCTGCGCTCATCTACCCCCACAGATGGACAAACGGAGGACTACATATAAGGGGTCTCCCCGTGATTTTCCAGTCTCCCCCAATAGCAGCATTAAATGAAAGGGGTGTGTCCCCTTTAATATTTTCAGTAAATATTCCACAGAGAAAAAATCACAGGCTTCTGGTCACACAATTTGAAAACAGTCGTGCTCAGAGTGTTTGTCCCATAACAAAGAGGACTGACCGCGCGGGGAGCTGCATCTGCATTTTTTCCAGCAGTGGCAACAGGTGTGCCTGGAGTGAACAACTGTCACTTGCTCCCTCGCGGAGGGCTGCCCAGTCAGGCGCACTCAGCCCAGCTGGCGGGGACGGCCAGGGAGCAGTCCGCGCCTCACCGGCTGGCACACACTCACCAGGAACATTTCCAACTCATCACCCCCCAGCAGTCAGAGGCCACCCAGCCTGGCCCTCCCCATAGGCGGCCAGGGTCCCCATGGTCTCTGAATCACAGCGAGCTGCCTGTGGAAACCTAACCGGTGCATCGAGAGGTGATTCCGAGACAGGCTGTCTATTCAGGAAGGCGAGATTCAGGAGGGAGAGCTCTGGAGTCAGACGTCTAGGCCCAGATCCCTGCTGTTGTGCGCTCTGCCATGTGACCTTGGACAAGTTATATAACCCTGTGCCCCAGTTTCCTCATCTGCAAAATGGGGTAACAGACTCAACACCTACTTCATGGCTATTAAGATGGTTTAAGTCGTCCTTCTACAAGCAAATGTACCCCGATCACCCAACGTTTCAAGTGCATTGAAAGAACAGTCCCGAATGTTTTTAGGGAACATGCAAAGAACACAAAGTCACAACCCTGCCTGAACAAACAGCACAGTGCACAGCTCTACTCATACCTGAGTCTTCCATTAAGGAAGGATCCACTTTGGGAGAAAGAAAAGCTATGAAAAGGTTTAGATGGTAGATTCCCAAGGCGTAGGTCACAATGTACCAACCCTGGAAGAGAAGAAAACACAGCGTCAGTGACAAGCTTCAACCATCCGCCAACCTGGACCTATTTGTGTTTTAACACTCCGGTTAACTCTCGTCTTGGTTTTGACTGATCTTAAAAGCAAACACAATTTACTTTATGGCAAGGAGGCTATAACTTACGTGAGAAGGAAGTACAGTAGTGACGGTTTATCTCAGATTACTTTGTGGGTCTGATACTACCCAAAGTGGACAGCCCAGGGCCGAGAGTAAACGTCTGCATGGGCTCAGTCAGATGCAGATGGTACCTGCAGCCGCTGGCTCCCGCCCAGGAGGGCAGCAGAAAAGGAGGCTTTTCTCAAAAACCACGTGCCAAGCTACAGGCTGGGGCGCGCGCAGCCTGGGCACCGGAGTGGTGGTGTGCACGCCCAGCCCAGAGCCCCGCCGTGAGCAAACAGGTTCACCTGATGCGAGGCAGAGCCTCAGCGGCCACGGAGGATGTGCTCACTGACACTCCTCTGTGGACTCACGTCGCCAAAGACGCTTTGCCAAGAGCGTTCGTGATGTCTGCCCAGAAGAAATCCGGGCCAGGAAATCAAGAATAAGGTTTTTAAAAATGCTTTAAAGCCAAGCCTTCCTCAAGATGCAAAGAAGCAGGACAGATGCTGGCAGGACGCCTGCATGCAACACGCTGACTTGCAGCTAATTCATTTTAACAATCACCAAGTTTACCCCATTAGAGACCAGAACTGCACTATCAATTTTAAAAGCCTCAACTTTTTCATTCAAATAAGATGAAATCTCTGCCTAAAAAATTTTCAAGTCAGACAACTAAAAATTAGATGTGAAAGTTTAATGTTTATCTTCATGTTGCGGGCCAAGCCTGAAGGGACGCCCAGTTAGGCATAAACTGGGTTTAGAACACAGGAAAACCAACCCGTGTGTTGCAGTCCCCCACTGTTGCCTGAATTCCCTAATTTAAGGTTTCTAGGTCATTCTTTCCATTAAAGAACGGACAGAGTTCCAATTTAAAAAAAGAAAAAAGCCCAAGATCAATTACAGCAACCTCAACGTTAGTTTTAAACATCCTGCGCAGACTGGGTCCCACACTAATAAACTAGGGCGGGGCCTCTCCCCTCACAGCACGCCATCGCGCGGGCACAGATGCTGACGAAGAACAGCGTCTACGTTCAGTTCACTG